GCATCAAGTCGGCCCGCACCAGAAACACGGGCTGTACGCCCTCCTCGAGGAGCGGGCACAGACCGTCGACCGCGTGCTCCGCTTCGCGCCGCCGCCACGATTTGGACGAGTGGATGGACCCGTCAAGCCAGTCCATGCGCACAAGAGTGCCGCGGCTGGTGCACGGGCAACCCAGCCGTTCGTTGTCCCGCGCGGACTCCTGCAGCTGCTGTCTTAGCGATCGAAGCCGCGATGTGTGGTATGCCTCCGCGTCGGCGTAGCCATACGAACGTGCGTACGTGTCCCATGCTGTTGACGGCTGCTCAATCAACCTTTGGATGGCGCCCGCTACCGCCTTCTCCCATTCGCCAGGCGAACTTGAAAAGAAGGCTTGCAGCTCGTCCGGGTTCGCGTGAAGATACTCGCCACGCAAGAAGTTGACGCATCCCAAGTTGTCCATGCTGTCACTGAAGGCATGCGACCCTTCCCCTCGGCTGTGGAAGACGAGGAGGTGTCTCGATGCGTCCTCAGGGGGACAACGGGGCAATGGATTCGGGCGGCTGCTGTTGTGCTCGGCCGCGAGTGCAGCAGCAGGCACGGCCAGAAAAAAGATCATACCCACGTGGGCTTTGGCGGGGCGTTTCAGGCACGCTCCCTTCTTCGCTCAAAGTGGCGCCCGCCTTTGTGAGTGTGAGTGAGGACGTCGTTTTTAGTGCTCGGACTTTTGTTTTTGTTTGGGGACTCATGCTTCATCGCACCTCGCGCACCTCGTTATCGCGGGCTGAGCGATAAAATTGCATGCCGTATCGTACAGCTTGTTTGTGTTGCAAGTAGGCAGGAGGCCGACGCACGGGACGGACTCACGAGAGGTGGTGGATCATGCACCCCAGATCCCCAGTCCGGGAAGAGCGCGGGCACCACGCGACACGCGTCTACGAAACTCTAGCACGCCGGCGGCATTCTCCGCGCGGGCGGGAGTCCCCTCACCCCTGTGGGGAACGGTTTAGGGAACGGAGTGTACCTGGTCCTGCGGAGTCGTCGTGCATGTGCGCGCTTGCGCGGGGATCCTGGTTTGCTTTTCTACTCTCTACATCCATCTCGCTCCCGTCCTACCAAAAAAGCAGCGTGCAGATTTCACCCGAGTAGCAGCTCATCGAGCTCGTGAGGTAGCTCTCGCCCGAGCGCGTCCACACAGGGCAGCACCAGAGTGCGTAGGCCACGCCGTGTGCGCTTGCCTTTGCGCTGCGCGGCCCAGCGGCGGCGGCGGCAGATTTCTTGTGTCGAGGCGGCCGCGAAGTTGCCGACAACGAGACGTGCGTGCGTACACACTTCCGTCTCGACACCCGCCAGCGCCTCGGTCTTGTTGGAGTCGTGGGTGTCGTAGTTAGTGACGAGCCAGTGATTCACAAACGCGCCGATAGGAGCAGCACGCCCAATGGACCGCAGCACCAGCTCCCAGTCGGATTGGCTGTGCGGCCCGCCCACGACGAGCGCGAGATGCTTGCCACCTGACAGCCGTCGAGACGCCGCACCAGCCAGCTGGCTAATATTCGACAGTCCCGCCCCACCTCGCAGCACCGTGGCATACTCGGTCGACAGGGAGGCATCGAAACAGTCGTACTCACCGTGCAAACGCTCGATTGTTGCCTGGGCCTCGTGTGCGACGGTCATCAGGCGTGGCGCAAGCTTGAGCCCACGAGCAAGGCGGCGCGCAACCTCTCGACGTGCGTTAGGTGATCTCGGCGGAGTGGCGAAACGCCGGAGCGCGGTTGACAACTGGATCTCTTGCCGTGCAGAAAAGGGTGCCAGGAGCTCCTCGAGCGGCGGGGGTGCACTTGTTGCTGCTGGTGTTCCAACCGAAACGAATCCGGCTTCCGGCGGCGGCGAATCATTCAAGCCGACGTCGAGGTGGACCCGCAGAGGCGTGTCGACTGCCGACTCGTCGTTTGGCCCACGCGCAGTATGGCTTGGGAAATGGCTCGCAAAGCTGCTGTAGTCGAGAAAGTGTGAGCTGGTTCTGGCGAGAACACGCGGGCTGCGCCGCTGGAGCGGAAAGCGCGGAACGACGAGAGTCCGGTTGAGCACGTGAGCAAGGGCGAGAGCGTTCCGCAGAGACTGAAATGAAGAGTGCAGGTCGCATCGTCCGCCTCCCGTGAGGTCACAGTCTGTGCTTAGGGAGAGCAGGCGGTCCTGCAACGGCCGGCGTGGGGGCAGTGGGCTCATCTGTGACCGCCACAGGCCAGCCTCTCTGAGGTTGTGCACCTTTTCGCGCACGCCGTCGATCCAATTGGCGTGCACCAGCACCGGCTTGCCGCTGGTCGGGACGGGCCGCCGGAAGTACACAAAGCCGTTGGGGAAGCTCTGTGTCGGGAGCAGAGCCCAGCTCAGGCCCTGGCCAGCGGCGAGCTCGCGGTTGAGCATGTCTTGCTCGTTCGGCGGGCGCTCTGCATTCGAAAGGGCCTCCCACACGCGCTCAAAGAGGGCAATGGTGCGGGGCGTTGAGCGGCAATAGAAGACACCGCCGTTTGCGTAGGTCCAACTGCTTCCCTGTTGCAGCCCAAGCCGCTGCGTCACCAGACCGGGGTCCGACTCCCTCTGCGAGATGCCGTCTCGCGCGTCAGCCTCCGGGCAGGATTCCTCACCCAGCTTCCGTTTCTGCCTAATCGATCTGATTCTGTCCGTCCGATTCTCGCCTTATCAGATTCTGTCGCGCGGTTGCGGTTTCTGCCTCCGGATGCCGGAAAGGGAATTTTCCGCTCTGCCCGCCGATTTCTTGGCAACCCGGCCGGACTCTCGTTTCCTGATTCCTGTTTTTGCCCGTCGAGGGGCGGTAGCCCGGCCGGCCGGCCATCTGGGCATGCTCACTCAACCAATCACGCTCATGTGTACGCGCCGTATCCTCCGCGCCACCCACTTTGCCATCGAAGTGCGCTCCGCGCTCCGCACAGTACAGTCGCTTTTGAACGGCGGCTCATCACACGTGCGTCAGAGATCTCATGGGCGGTGGCATGGTGGAGCCAGAGCAGTGCGCGGCCGATCTGAATTCTGGGCAGGCGGTCTCCAATTCCCGCGGGCGCTTGGTGCCGGGGTTTGAACGGCATGCCGGCGTCAGATGCAGCTTGGCGCCGGCCTGCGGCGACCCGCAAGCGGTCGTTGGTGCTGCTCAGCGATGCTCACAGCGGCACGTCTGCTCTTTTGCTGTGGGGAGTGCTGTCTGATTGGGTCTCCAAGCCCGCGGGCTCGCTGTGAATGCACCCGCCAGCTAGGCAGCTCCGCGGCGGTGTGGGTGTAGAACGGGTAGGCTGCTGTCTCGTGTCTCGGTGCTCGTACTAAGTCAATGGGAGGAGTGCTTCAATTTCTTCTTCTTATACGCCCAGCTCAAAAGCACACACGCATCACGACGCCTAGACAGGCGAGACGCGGCGACAGCCGCGGCGAGCTCGTTTTAGAAGCGAGCCGCTCGCGGCGAGCAGTTTTAGAAAAAGGGAAAAGGGGGAGGGTTAGTTTGAACCCGAGCCGAGCTTCGCTCGGCTCCCCCCCGCGCGGGAGCGCCCCCCCCCCTCTCCTCGGGGGGGCGGGCAGAGCCCGCACCACACACTGCGCCTTTGCGGACGCCGGACCGAGGCTTTGAAGCGCTGAGTGCGCTGACGTGAGGCTGGAGCGCCAGAGAGACCCGCGCCTGAGCAACCATGCTGCCGCGGGCGAAGTTTGAGTGAGCTGTGTGAAGCCCCGCGCACACGCAATATCGGCTCAGGAGTTCGGAGAGTCAGGCCAACATAGGATCCCGCCGAAATGCGTAACTCCGAGGAATCAGGAATCAGGAATCAGGAATCAGAATCCCGGTCAAAATGTTGGAATCAGGAATCAGGAATCAGGAATCAGGAATCAGAATCCCGGTCAGAATGTGGGCGATCCGACAAATCAGGAATCAGGAATCAGGAATCAAATGGAGCATCAAGAATAGGAAGAGAGACAGGAGAATCGGGAGGGGGGAGCAGAATCAGGAATTGGCTCTGGCTGCCCTAGAGAATCGGAAAGGAAGCGGAGGAAACGAGAATGGAGAATCAGGAAGCTGAAAGCGGGGCCAAGATGGGAGAGTCTGGGGAGAGAATCAGAATATCTGAGCAGAAGAGGAACCTGGGAAGGGGAATCTAGTGAGAGGTAGAATAGCAAGAATCCTTGTGTAGTAGAGCAGAATAGGAAAGGCAGAATCCTTAGGCGCGGACAGACTTCTCCATTACTCGCCAGCAAGCAGAAAATGCCAAAAACCCCGGGTAAAACCCGAAAATACCTGGGTTTTTCGGGGGGTATTTTCGGGTATTACCCGCACCTGGACGCCGGAGATCGTCGTGGGTCACTGGCAGGCCTTCCTTATTGTTGTTCAGCCGGCCTAACGTTAGCTACTGTTGTTGGGGAGCTTCACTGTTGTTCTGTTGTTACTGTTAACACTAGCAACACTGTTCAGCTCCCAATGTTAAACAGCTCTAGCCCTCACCCCTCGTCACAACCCGAGTGTTGGTATCAGCGCAGATTACTTGTGTGGAGTGTGGTGAGACAAGGAGAGATCGTAGGAGTATCGTACGAAGCCCGAAAAGGGTGGCGCCTTAGGCCTGGGGGATCTAGAGCGTACACCGTACTCTATGGGAGCGACGTGGATTCCCAAGTTGGAGGTACGTGGAGGCCGTCAGGGCCGGGTAATCGTATAATGACTCTCGAGAGCAAAAGCGCGCGCGAAGCACCGAAGCTGTGTGTGACTCCACAGTGACTGTGTGTGTGTGTGTGTGTGTGTGTGTGTGTGTGTGTGTGTGTGCGCGCGCGCGCGCGCGCGCGCGCGCGCGCGTGGTGTGTGTGTGTGTGTGTGTGAACCTGTGTGTGTGCTGGAGAGAGATAGGAAGCCCGCGGCAGATAGGGGGTGGCGCCTCGCTCGACTTCTTTCTCGGATCTCGCTCGTGTGTGTGGTAGACCTGCGCTGTAACACCGTGCATGTTTTGGGAGCGACGATTAATGTGTGGTCATGACTCTCACAAGCTCATCCCACGAAACCACACGAGGACGGTGCAGATGGGCGCCGCCGAGGCGCAACCCAGGATGCCGAGCGGCCCCAACGGCGAATATTTCGGCGCGCCGCCTTCGGCCGCGCCCACCTGCTCGGCGATGCCGAGGCCCAGCGCGAGGATGAGCGGGACGGTGATGCTCCCGGTCGATGTGCCGGCCGCGTCCCACGCGAGGCCGACGAGGAAGTCGTCCTGCTTGTAGGTGAGGGCGAGCGCGAGCGTGTAGAGGGCGAGCAGGATGGGGAGGAGCGGGAGGTTGAGGAGCACCTTCACGATGCCAATCACGGTGCCGAGCCCGCAGCCTGCGGCGACCGTCGCGACCAGCCGCATCTTCGGCACGCGCCCCGCAGAGAGCCGCTCCGCCTGGCTGCCCAGCACGAGCAGGTCGGGCTCGATCATCTGGCACGCCCCGATGGTGAGGACGCCGAACGCACACACGCCGACCGCGCGAGCAGGGTGGACGGCGCCGTCTGGCTGGATCACGCCGCGCACGAGGCGAGCGCCTCCGTTGCGGCCCATTGGGAGGAGGCCCAGCTTGATGCCGACGTAAAAGGTGTAGAGGCCGAAGAGCACTCGCGCCAGGCCGAGCGGGACGGGGCGGCGCGCCACCGCTCGGAGGGGCAAGCGCAAGTAGAGGACGACGGCCGCCAGCCCGACGCTCAGGGGCAGGAAGGACTGCGCCGTGAGCTGCGCCTCCGCGCGCGCAACCTCGAGGAGGCTGCCGGCGGGCGAGGCGCGCGCAGGCCGCTCCGAAGCGGTGTCGGTGCCGGTCAGGTGCGCCCACAGCTTGATCGAGTAGCAGCTGAACGCGATTGACAGCACCGGGAAGAGAGAGGCGAGGGCCACGAGACCAAAGCCCGAGTCGCCCCCTCGGACAAAGCCGGCGCCGAGCGCGAGAATGACGGGGACCGTGATCGGACCTATACGCGAGCGAGAGGGCGACAGTGTGGGAGGGTGGGGGGAGGGCGAGAGGGCGAGAGGGGACCTCGCACGGACCTGTCGTCACCGCGCCAGCATCCCAAGCAAGCCCCTGCGCGGCGGGTGGCGTGACACAAGTGCTCAGCAGGCATAGCAACGCCAGCGGCGACACCAGCCGCCAGAGAGGCAGCTTCGTGGCGCCGCTGCTGAGCCTCGTGGCGCCGACCGCCATCGCAAGCCCCACGCCGGCGCCGATGCTGACGACGGTCAAGATCTGGTGCTTCCCAAGCAGTGCTTGTATCTCGGGGAAATCCCACGCCTCGTACGAAAGCTCGATCAGTGACCCAATCGCCGGCTCGCCGAAGGTGAGCAGCAGTCCCAAGGTGAATGCGACTGAAGGTACCATCCGGGGCTGGCTGTGAACAAGTCTGCGGCCGATGAGGTCTCCAACCGGCATGAGTCCGTCGCGAAGGCCGATGGCGAAGCTCGCGAGCCCTATTACGACGAGCGGCAGGCCAACAAACACTATCGTCGGGCTGAGCACCGGCACCGGTTCCGGTTCTGGTGGCTCGTCGTGGCTCGGATCGCTGCCGCGAACCTGCTCCGTGACCCACACAAAGAGCGGCAGCCCGATCGCGAGCCCGACCACGACACGCAGCGGCTCGAGCACCGCGCGACGAGCTGAGGGCTCGGCGTACACGTTGAGAGCCACGTCGGCCTCTGGGAGGTTGGCCTCTGGGAGGAATTGCTCGAGCATGGCCCAGCCTGCCGCGATCACCACTAGAGCGCGTCCGAAAAAAGAGCGAGCAGGATGTGCGGTTAATGATTGCACTCCAAGTGCTCCAAGTGCACCCGGTACACGGAACCATCCCTCGGAGACGTGTTATGGCCCTGCGACCGCGCACCCCCGGGGCTAGGGCTCTCTTGCCCGAGGGCTAGAGCGCGCCGGCGGGCGCGCTCTAGCCGGTAACCCGATCCCGATCATCCGGCCAACTGGGTGGGTGCGCTCCTCAGCTCCCCGGTCCTGGATGTGAGGCTAATGACCGCACTCCAAGTGCCGCTCCAAGGGGAAAAAAGAGATCGGGCTTTTGCTGCGAAGAGTGATAGGAAGTGGTAGACGCTCGAGGGTGGGCGACGGCTAGCACCACACTCCTCTCCTTAAAATCCCTGTGTGGTGGCGGCGTGCCGTCCTCCCATCCCTCCCTTCGCCTCGCTGTTTTCTTTCTTTCTTGCTTGCTGCTCGCTCGCCCGGGCGGAGGGCATGGCCGCCGAGGAGACGAGCGGGCATCTGCCAGGCCTTCCGCAGGCAGCCTCTTGGGCAGACTGAGGGTCGGCTGTGCGTGGCGTGGCCCGTGCGCTGAGCTGCGCAAAGCTGCGGGTGGTGAGGGAGCATCTGGTGCTTCCACTGCGCACTGGGAGGAGGTGCGCACCTCCTGCAGCTGGTGGAGGGCCGTGCCACCGTGTGCCTGCTCCGTTGACAGGACAGGGAGGCGGCGCCGCAGCGCCACGGCCTCTGCTGCTTGCCGGTGCAGCACTGTCCTGCCTGGTGAGCAGCCTGCTGGTTCTGTGTGCGGGCTGCGGCGTTGGCGAGGCTGCAGTGGCACTGTACTGCATGCCACGGCGAGTGGCGCGCGGGTTTCATTGCCTACCCCTGTAGTTTGACATAGTGAACGGACAACCAGCGGACAAGCACAAGACAACCGAGATTATGATTTATGGATTACATCTGTTTCTTTTATTGCTGGCGCAAATAAAGAATGGATGTGTATAAAGAACGAAGTTGATCACCACGGATCGCGAAAGAAGAGATCCGGATCGCCCCCCCTCAGCTGGATCTGCGAGAACGAGCGAAAGCTCGGCTCCCGCATCGCCGTCCTGCCCTGCATGGTGAAGTCCCACTCCCACTCGTCCATGAAGACGGCGCGTGGGCAGCGCCCCTGCAGCGCGCACCCCAGCTTGACGACGACGCGGCACCAGTTGGACGAGGCGGTGCACACGATGTAGTCCGCTGCGGCGGAGACGAGCAGGTTGACGACCGACTGCGACGAGACGTTGAGCGCGGCGAGCTGCCTGGTCGCCTCGCTCGGGCCAGCCTCCGCCTCGCCTAACTCGCCGGGCGGCTGCGCCTGCAGCCGCGGGGACTCCCCAGGCCACCGCAGGCTGCTCTGCGGCTTGCTGTGCGCCGCGAGGTCCGCCGCAGCCTTCCCCGCGTCGAAGGCGGGCAGGTTTGCCTTGAGGCCCTGGCCGAACCGCTTGCCCGCACTCCAGTAGACCTCCCAGTCGTCGCCCAGCACCTCGGGGATCAGGCTGATCGCCTCGGGGTCCTCGGACGACAGCGCGAGGCGAGAGACGCCAAACTGCCTCCGCAGCGATTCGGCCGCCTTCGCGTAGTCCCGCGCGCTGCGGCAGGTCGCCTCCTTCCAGCACTTGTCGCCCCACCGCACGTGCATGCTGACGTACGGGTGGAGCTCTTCCCAGCTCCGGTAGCGCCGCCTCCTCGCCGGCTTGTTGCCCGTCCGGCCGCGCCCCCGCACCCACTCGGCGTCGAGCATGGCCAGCGTAAAGGGCGCTGGCTGTAGCGCAAAGAGGGCGAGCTGCGACTGCCACCACAGCAGGCTGCGGCGGCCCTTGAAGACGGGCGGCACAGGCGCCTCCCAGACCGTCGCCGACTGCCACACCTTCCACCACGCGCCCATGCGCTGCCGCGTCACGTTCTGAGGGAAACCCCAGCCGACGGTGCCGACGACCCGCGTGGCCGAGCACGCGGCGAAGGAGTCGCAGGTGTCGAGGTCCTGGAAGAAGCAGCGTTCGGAGGAGACGGCGCAGCCTCGCCGCGCCAGGTAGGGCACGCCCTTCTCCCCGACCTCAGACAGGACGACGCGGCTATCGCGCTGCAGAGCCGCCCACTCGAGAGCCTGCAGCAGCGCGTGCCACCGACTACCGAGCCCAGTGCCGCTCTTGTGCGGGTCCGCCGGGTACGCGACCGCGGTTGCCGGCCCTGCGGCGTCGCGCCGGCCAAAGCCTTGCAGCCTCGCGATGAGCGCCTGCGCCGCGCACGCGTCGGGCGAAGCGAGCGAGGGCGCCGCGGGGTGCCCGAGCAGCGGCAACGTGAAGCGCTCGCGGAGGTGGGCGGGGAACGTGGGGCATACAGCGTCGATCCAGAGCGTCTGTCCGGTCATCGGGAGGCGGGGCAGCGGCGAGAAGGGCTGCAGAGGCGAGGCACGGTGAGGCGAGCGCGTGTGGCAGGAGCGGCTGTCACCTCAAGTCGGGCGCCCCAGACGAGCGTCTATATGTTGTCTCGATTCGCGTTTTTCCCTGCGCACAGCAGCGACCGTGCGATCTCCATTTTTTTCTTTTAACTCGCGAAAAGCAGCCGAGAGATTGGAGGAGGGAGGGAGAGAGAGGAGTAGAGAGAGCTAGAGAGCTAGAGAGAGAGAGAGAGAGAGAGAGAGAGAGAGAGAGAGAGAGAGAGAGAGAGAGAGAGAGAGAGAGAGAGAGAGCTGAGGGAGGGTGTAGAGGATGTAGAGTGTAGAGCGCTGGAGAGCTGTAGAGATGTAGAGCGCTCTGGAGCGCTGTAGAGCTGTAGAGCTCTACACCCGCCGCGGGACGAGGCGGGTGCGTTGTAGAGCGATGTAGAGCGCGATTTTGCTGTAGAGTTTGTTGTAGAGGCTCTACAGCCAAACCGCCGGGAAGGCAGTGACTCAGAGAGGTCGAGCCGCGCTAATGGGGTGTCTCCGAGCTTACTGGAGCTCTGATGGACAGCCCTGACTATCCCTGACACACAGAGAGTCATTCCGACGGCACACAACACCCTATAACTGCGTCATGACCAGCCTGCCATGTGTCGCCGGTGCCGCATTCGTCGCTGTGCTTCTTTAGCAGGCGGTGGACTGTCGGCTGCGACGGTCGCATTTGCGCGAGGCGAGGCGAGCATTGCTGCGCGTTGCATGCGCCATGACTCGCGCCAGCGCGTGCGGGAGCTCCTGGCTGAGCGTTGAGTCCAAGCGAGTTGCGCTGGCCACGATCGCTACGCCGAGCCGAGCTGACGCGCCGAGGCGCCGGCCAGTCGCAGCCGTGAGGCATGCCACAGCAGCAGAGGCACCTGCCACCCATTGGGCGGGCAGACAGAAGGCCAGGGCAGCACCAGGGCAGCACTGGCAAGGTGGCAAGTGCAACGCGCCTCATGTCGGAGAGCGACGCACCGTGCCTCGTTCGCCACTTATGATGTAGAGTTTGTTGTGATCTGTGATCTGTAAGGGTCCGCCCGCAGGCGCATTTTGTATACCGAGGCGGTGCCCGGTGCCGAGCGCAGGCAGAGCCCACAGGTCGGACCTTAAGACAGCATTGTAGATCCCTGGGCGAGGGTGATGGAGGGGGGGGTCCGGCGGCGGAGCACCTCCTCCCGGCGTGCCGGGAGGCAGGATGTCATCCCCCGTGATCCAGGCCGCCCCGTCGGGGGTAGACCGCTCGTCTAGCCAATCAGCCTTAAGCGAGCGGTCTGGCCGTTGGAATGGCCGAGGTTGGTGGACTTGCGTCCTCGCATCGATCGTGATTACAAGCATTGTTACAATTCCGTCACGAACTCTGACCGTCAGCTGGCCACTCCGGGGCGAGGGACCTCCTTAGTAAGCCGGCACGCTGTGCGTGCGCGGCCGTTCAGAAACTTTCCCCCGCCCCACACCTCTTTATCTCTCAGCGCGATGTCTCTCGTCGTATTCCCTCTGGGCTCTGGATGTCCGAGGCGATTGCTGTGTCCGCTTGCGTTGTCGCAACTTTTGTCTTTTGTTTCGGCGTCATCGGCTCCTCGCCCTCGTGATGCTGCTGGCTCGCCCCCTCTCCCTGGCTCATCGAATCGCTACGTTCATTCTCAAAGCGCCCCCGCTTCCTTGGCGGCTGGGGCGCCTCGTGCTCTGGCTGTTCCTCGTCTACGTCCATCACTGTGAATTCGTCGTCTGTCTGGCTGCCTTCGTTTGGATGGCCCGTTTCGGCGGGGAACGTGGGGCAGACAGCGTCGATCCAGAGCGCTTGAGCGGTTGTCATCCGTGCAAAGCAGCCGACGTGATCGATTTTTTCCGCGAGTGAAAATTTTCTTTGTGCCCAGTAAAAGAAAGAAAGAAAACAGACAGCCCAAGGGAGGAAAAAAGAAAGAAAGAAAACGGACAGCCCAAGGGAGGGATGGGAGGACGGCACGCCGCCACCACACAGGGATTTTAAGGAGAGGGAGGGATGGGAGGCGGCCGGAAAATTCTTTTTTGCTCGCGCTGAGCCTTGTGCATGCCGTCCACCTCGAGCACCAACCAGGGCCTCGACGCACATCCGGCGCCGGCGCTACTGGAGCAGATCCGTGGCGCGGTTGATGATGATGTCGCGCACGAGACCTCCAAGTACACGTGGTGGTCTAAGCACGAGGGCTCGACTTCGGAGAGGGACCGCACATTTCGGAGCCGCCGCCTCGCGCTGCTGTACGTCGCGAAGCGGAACTCTGAGCAGCTGTGCGACTACGCAGAGTCTGCCGGCACGGATTGGGAAGCGCTCTTTCCCACCAGCGGGACGCACGTGCTGCGTCCCAACCGGCCGTTTGATCTGCACGCGATGCTAGAGCTGGGCGACGACGCGATGCAGGAGTGGTGCGACGCAGTGTGCAACGCCTTCTCGCGCTACAAGGTGGTCAAGGGCAGCCTCTACCGCTACCAGCCGCGGCCGCGCAAGGTCGTCGAGGCCGCCGAGCTGTACGCCATCCTGCAGCGCGAGGGGGCGGACGCCGAGGAGCTCGATCACACGCGGCGCCAGGCGCTGCTCCTCTCCGACATCGCCGGCTTCGACTGAGGGTCGCTGGTGTGTCGCTTGCGCGTGTGCCACTCGCTCTCTACCTGCAGCAGAGAGTGTGGATGATGGATATACACAGCGCGCACTGCGCAGACCGCCCACAGAGTCGTGAGAGTCGAGCGCGGGTGCGTGGAGAGTGTACAGACTGCGACGGTGTATCATTCACTTTATGCCACCGTTGCATATCCGGATATGCAACGGTGGCATAAAGTGAATGATACACCGTCGCAAAACTGCATTGGGTCTCGAGTTCGAATCCCGCAGTTCGACTCGGCGCAAAAAACCCAGACGGGCGTTGTCGCTGGTTCGAAACCCACCTTACTCCTTAGCGTTCACCTGCTATCCGCCGTTGCATATCCGGATATGCAACGGTGGCATAAAGTGAATGATACACCGTCGCACAGACTACAGTGGAGAGTGTCTTCTGCTCAAGGAATAGTGGAGGAATAATGAACACTACGACACCACGATGCGATGCGGGGCAGTGTAGCAAAGTTTGACACGCTGGGGTCGACACGAGCGAGAGCCGCAGCGCCGAGCGCGCCCGCGGGCACACGTCCCAGCTGCCCCAGCACAGAGTCAGAGAGAGGCGACAGGGCGCTCATCCGACCGTCCCACCCTCGCTCAGGGTGGCAAAGTCGTTTGCCGTGTCCGAGTCAAGCGCGGTGAACCTGTTCGCGGTGTTTACCACCGAGTTGGAGGAGCCCTGGAAGGCGCCGCCCGTGATCCAATCGAGGCCCGTCTCGACGCCTGCGGCGACGTACTTGCCGCCCGTGACCAGGCCGAGACCGGCGAATTGCGTCCACGACGCGGGGGCGCCGGGCTTGTCGGGCGCCGCTGTCACCTGGCCGCCGAGGTACCCGCCGTCCAGCGTGAGCGGATCGCCCTTGGCGCCCGGACTCTGCAGCGCGAGCGCCGGCGCCGCGTCGAGGCGGCGGCTCCCGCCACGCTCGCTGCTACAGCTCTCCTCCCAACTCCGGAGGCACTTGCCCTTGGCCGCACACCACGCGAAGCCAGCGCTGGCGCGGCAGCCGTGCTCGTCTGCATCGGCACCGACCTTGGCCATCGGAGGCTTGGTCGCCGCAGCCGCCGTGGGCTCCGCCGCCGCCGCGGCCGTCGGCGGCATCGCCGCGGGCGCAGCTTCGCCATCGTTGAAGAAGCAGTACAGCCACCACTGCTTGTTAATCTGGAGGAAGGTCCAGACTGGGTGTGTCGCCGAGAGGACCGGAACGACAGGCATCTCGTACCACGGGAACGGGGTCTCCGCCCACAACTCGGCCTGGTAGGCGCCCTCGTCGGTACCCGTCTTGACGGTCTCGGTGATCTTACATCCCAGCGCCGGGCAGCAGAAGCCGCCGGTCGGGCATGGCGGGCAGTTCTCGCGCCACTGCTGAGCGAGGGCCTCCTGCGAGTGCTGTGCCGTGGCGAAACCCATGAAGCCGTCGTCGACGGTGCCGCCAAGCTTCCGCTTGTTGTCCACGACGGGAGGAGTCGGTGCGGCGGACGTGGCCACGATGATGGCGAGGGCGCAGGTCTTGTAAAGCATGTCGACTGATGACTGATGCACCGCAAAAGGACGCTCGCAGGCTCGGATGCTCCTTGAGGATTGGAAAAAAGAATTCCACTGCAGTCAGACCGCCCCTTGCAAGAATTTGGACCAGGAATGACACTTTCCGACAGCAGAAGTGCTTGTTCGAGCATATATTGAGCGCCCACCCGCCGTGAACGCTCTCATCGACAAACAATAACACGGAGCCCCCCCGCAGCCGCACGCACTCACACCCCTCCGACCACGCTGTACATGCTCCATCTGCGGAACCGGAAGACTACAGCTAGGGATCAATTCATCGTGCAGCCCTTGGCGTAGGGCGTCCTGAAGTCGAACTGGTGAATCCATATGTTCGCGCCTGCGTGCAGCCGCGGCAGAGAGAGGGGGGTGAGGCCGAGGGAGCATGCCTCTCGCACGCGCCAGCACGGCGTCGGGGAGGTGGATGGTGGGATGGGGAGAGCTGGTTGCGCTGTGGCCGCGCGCGCCGTACTTCTCGCCCCGCGTCACCGGCAGCGCCTCGTGGTGCGTGCGCGGGTCGACAGTGTACGGCGCGTCCGCCAGCACCGACGGCCAAAAGATGGCCTTGCCGCGCCGCGCCTCGGTGGTGATTTGGCCGGACGGGAGGTCCGTGAAGCGTGTGCCGCCGCCCTCCTCGACGTCGTTGAGGTACATAAAGACGGTGTAGATGCGGACGCCCTGGTTGCGGTGCACGTCGCCCGCGATAAAGTCCGAGTGCCGGCGATAGAAGGCGCACGACGGGTGCGACGGCTCGGGGCACGAGTTGTAGTACACGAGCTGCGCAAACTCGCCGTTCGCCGGGGGCGTTCTCGTAACGTCGCTGACACGGGCGGTGACGCGCTGGACGAGCGGGTCGTCGAGGCACTCCGCCTCCTGGCACCAGGTGTGCGACGAGGTGCGGATCTCCGTCTTCACGTCGGTCATGCGGCCCTCGGAGTCGACGCCAACGCCCCGCGACTCGGTGTACTTTCCCTTTCCATGGGCGATGAAGGCGTCCGCCTCCTCGGCCGACAGGAACGAGTGGAAGAGCAGGACGGGCGGGTCGGCGGAGATCAGCTCGGGGCCGAGATGCGCAAACTCGCGCAGGACGCGCTCAAAGGTGCTGTTCATCGCGCCTATTGCGCGAATGGCGTGTCTTCGCGGCCTGGTCCTCGAAGAGGACCGCACGCTGTGCTGCTCTTCTCGCCCGGCACGAGTGCTGGCTGCGACCCCTCCGGCCGAGGACAGCGGGCATGGTACGAGTCGTGCGCGTTCGCCACCTTGGCGCAGCTGCGGGCGCAGCTGGTGAGCATGAAGGCCGAGTTGGACTCGCACTCGCCGCTGCCCGCCCACTGAGCGCACTCCTCCGTACTCGTCCACGAGTCGGCGGCGGGCAGCGCCGGCTGCCGATCGGCGCAGGAGGCCCGGCACTTGCGCAGCATAAAGTTGGGGTTCGCCTCGCACTCGCCCGCAGCCGCCCACACGCCGCAGTGCGCGTCCTCGTCCCCATCCGCCACCGCTGCCACCGCCGCCGTCGCCGCCGTGGGCTCCGCAACACCTCCGCCCGATCCGCCGCACTCCTCAGCGCATTGGCGCATAACGGCGGGATTCCGCTCGCACTCGCCGGCGGCCGCCCACTGCCTGCAAACCTGCCGCTGCCGCTCCTCCAAGGCAGCTCCCTCGCCGAGCGCCCAGCCGCGGTCCACAGAGTTCTCCCCATCGGGGAGCGCGGACCTCGCATCCGGGCCGTCCGACAGCGGTGGTCTAAGCGGCTGACTCACGTTTGTGGCGTGGAGCAAAGGCGCAGCGTCACCGCGGAGCAGCGCGAGCAGCGGCAGCAGCGCCGCCGCGATCGCCACCGCCGCCGCCGGCAGCGCCCAGCGGCGGGCCGGTTTGGAGGGCGGGGTTCGCTTCTCTGACGGCGGGCTGGGCGGCTTCTTGCTGCGGCCCATTCGCGGACCTCGCGCGTTGTTCGCAGCGCGCCTGAAACTTGGAGTTTACAAGTAGGAGAGTAGGAGAGTAGAGTAGGAGAGTACGTACAAGTAGAATTTTACAAGTAGAAGTTGAAACTGCGGGGTTGCATGAGAGGGGGGGGGGGGGGGGTCCGTCTGAGGCAAGGGGGCCCAGATCTGCTCGTCTCAGAGGGTTACCCTCTGTGCCAAGAGAGGCCATCCACGAGCGGCTCAGAGGGTACCTGGGCCGACCCTCTGAAGGCCTGTGCCCCCAAGCCAGCCTCTCTCTCTCGGCGCAGCCTCTCTCTGCTGAGGGAGGATGTAGAGTGTAGAGCGCTGTAGAGCTGTAGAGATGTAGAGCGCTCTGGAGCGCTGTAGAGCTGTAGAGCTGCTACATCCGCCGCGTGACGAGGCGCCTCCGTTGTAGAGCGATGTAGAGCGCGATTTTGTTGTGAGTTTGTTGTAGAGGCTCTACAGCAAAACCGCCGGGAAGGCAGTGACTCAAAGAGGTCGAGTCGCACTAATGGGGTGTCTCCGAGCTTACTGGAGCTCTGATGGACGGCCCTGACTATCCCTGACACACAGAGAGTCACTCTGACGGCACACAACACCCTATAACTGCGTCATGACCAGCCTGCCATGCGTCGCCGGTGCCGCATTCGTCGCTGTGCTTCTTTAGCAGGCGGTGGACTGTCGGCTGCGAGGACGGTCGCATTTGCGCGAGGCGAGGCGAGCATTGCTGCGCGTTGCATGCGCCATGACTCGCGCCAGCGCGTGCGGGAGCTCCTGGCTGAGCGTTGAGTCCAGGCGAGTTGCGCTGGCCATGATCGCTGCGCCAAGCCGAGCTGACGCGCCGAGGCGCCGGCCAGTCGCAGCCGTGAGGCATGCCACAGCAGCAGAGGCACCTGCCACCCATTAGGCGGGCAGACAAACCTGTGTCACCCGGAATCCATAGTGTCACTCTTATGGATTTGAAATGTCAAATTTTCAGACAATTTGCCTGCAAACTTGTCAATTTTGCGAGCAAATCAGATGCACACATCACCGCGTGTGCCCCCGCCAGCGTGGGAGTGGCCGCACCACGTGCTGGGTGCGCCGTGTGCAACTCCCGTGACCACGATGCCCCACCACCAGTTGCCTGCGGCGCGCACGAGCACTCCAGACTCGTGGCGCCGCACAGCTTCGAGCTCGCGTGTAGTCGTGTCGGACCACTGCGTCGCTCCCTTCATCACCTGGCGGTGGATGGTAGTTGCGGTCGTTCGTGTGATGCCGCGCACGTGCGCCCACGCGCAGCTGGACAGAGACGCTTCCCAGCAACCTTGTAGTCGATGCTCGTGACTGCGCCGTTGTCGGCCACCACTGCACCAGCACGGGCAAGATCAAACCAGGCCGCCACAGCGGCGTGGTTCCGAGTGCACTTGGTCCAGTCTGGTGAGTCCGCAGCGGCCTCGGACCCAAAGGATTCGCGCGCGCACTCTTTGGCCTCCGCCAGGCAGATCCGGTCGAGGCAGCGATCACCAAAGGGACACTCCCCAGTCCAGGACGACTCTTCTGACGCCCACTGCGATCATTTGCCGCCAAGTCATATCGTTGCTCAGGTCCACTCTCTCGCGAACACTTGTACCTCCACCGCTTCGCGCAAATTTCTTTCTCCACCCCGACGGCCGAACGCCCCCCGACTTGGCGAAATCACTGACCTTGTATCGCAAGGCCCTATTTGGAGCCATATTCTTGCCATTTTCGAGAATATAGACCATATTTTGGACAAGCGCAAAAAAAATAACATAGATACTACTCGGAAAAGCATATACAAACATGCTCATGCTTGCCCTCGCGCTCCAACACGGGCTGGGGAAAGCTCCGTGAGAGCTTGCGGCGCGAGAAGCAACAGCGAGAGGCTAAGACGACAAGGCACGGCTAGGTCAGGAATGGCACAGCATGGTGGCGGAGGGTGGAGTGGACCTTCAGCGCCTCTGGCACCGCCGCGTGAAAGTCACTGAGAAAGCGCCCGGATGGCTTCACCCACGACAAGATGGCTTCACCCACGCCGGCGAGAAAAAGAATTTGACAAGCGAACTGAGAAAAAGAATATGGGCGCCACAAGGCTGTGAATGAGCTCAATCGCCCACTTTTACAACAAAAACAAAACCCGCTGTCAGAGAGACAGCGTTTATATAATGTGAGACAGCAATGAAGGCGCAGAGGCCTCTGCGCTCGTCGTCGGCGGCACGCCGCCAGTCGTCGTGCAAGCCCCTCGTGCCAGCCCGCCAGTCATGATGCCCAAGTTTCTGAAGGATGCGTTTCCGGTACGCACCTAGTAGTAGCAGTGCTGTGTAGCCGCTGCCGCTGCTGGGTGCCGCCTGCGTCGGCCGTCACCCTGTTCCCTGCACATACATGCCGTCATCCGTAGAACCTCGAGAAGCCGGACGATGCCATCGCCTCGGTGCAAGAGGCGTGGAGCGACTTTGTCGGCAAGATCGTCCCGGCCGGCGCCGAGCCTCCTGTGATCGAGGTCCGCGAGCCGACGGCCGCCATCTCTGCGGCCGGCAAGGCGATGCCGCTGCTCGGACCCGTCTTCTCTGTGGAGGCGGACTTGCAGGCGGCTCCACGCCACACTGCTCACACTCCCACTTCGCCGGCGCTCGGGCAGTGGTGCACACGGATTCACCACACCCACTCGCCTTCCTTGCTTGCTTTCTATTTTTGTTCGGAAATGTCTCGGCAATTGGCACTTTGGAAGATCCCAGCAATGGTCTACTCTAAGCTGGTCCTCGGTCTCGGCTGCGGCCTCCTCGGCGCGGACGCGTACGCTCCCGGCACGCACGCGGCGCTGCGCCCGGCCAAGGTCCGGCTCGCCACCCCGGCGATGAACGCGCGTCGCCAGCACCTCGGTGCGGCGCTCGGTGCGCTCGGTGCGCTCGCATCTGTGCCGGCGGCACGGGCCGACAGCCCCGCCTCGCCCTGGGCGTACTCGACCTTCCTCGACGCGATCGAGGCGGGCCAGGTCGAGAAGGTCTCCTTCGCAGCCGACGGCAAGCAGGCGCTCGCCATCGACAAGGACGGCAACCGGCATGAGGCGCTCGTGCTGCCCGAGCAGACGCCGGAGCTCGTCAAGATCCTGACCAAGAAGAATGTGGTCTTCGCGGTGCAGTCCCCTCCGGCCAACGACGGCGCCCTCCTCGGCGCCCTCGGCAACCTCGCCTTCCCGCTCCTCCTCATCGGCGGCCTCTTCTTCCTCCAGAGCCGTGGCGGCGCAGGTGCTTGCCCCGAGGAGAGAGCAGAACCCTGCACGACGAGGGGAAGAGAGAAACGGCGGTCTGGCTGGCTGGGGGCGAGGGGGTGCTAGGGTGGGGGCTCGGAAGGGGGGTGGAGCCCCGGGAGGCTGTGCGCACCCGCCAGCGTCACCGCCCCGCCCCGCGCGCCCCTCGCTCCAGGCGGCGGCATGGGCGGCATGGGCGGCGGGGGCGGCCCGCTGGGGATGGGCAAGTCCAAGTCGAAGATCCAGATGGAGCCCCAGACCGGCGTCACCTTCGCCGACGTCGCCGGCTGCGACGGCTCCAAGCTTGAGCTGACGGAGATCGTCGAGTTCCTCAAGAACCCGGGCAAGTACTCGGCGCTGGGCGCAAAGATCCCGCGCGGCGCGGTGATGGAGGGCCCTCCCGGCACAGGCAAGACCCTGCTCGCGCGCGCGGTGGCGGGCGAGGCGGGCGTCCCCTTCGTCTCCGCCTCGGGATCCGAGTTCGTCGAGATGTTCGTCGGCGTCGGGGCGGCGCGCGTGCGCGACCTGTTCGGCGAGGCAAAGAAGAACGCGCCGTGCATCATCTTCATCGACGAGATTGACGCGGTCGGCCGGCAGCGCGCCGGCGGGAACCAGGGCGGCGGCGGCGGCGGCGACGAGCGTGAGCAGACCCTCAACCAGATCCTCACCGAGATGGACGGCTTCGACGGAAACAGCGGCGTCATCGTCCTCGCGGCGACCAACCGCGCGGACGTGCTCGACTCGGCGCTGCTGCGGCCGGGCCGCTTCGACCGGCGCGTGCCCGTCGACCTTCCCGACGTGGACGGGCGGCTCCAGATCCTCAAGGTGCACGCGCGCGGCAAGCCCCTCGCCGACGACCTGGACATGATGATGATCGCCAAGCGGACGACGGGCTTCTCCGGCGCCTCGCTGGCCAACCTGCTCAACGAGGCGGCGATCGTGGCGGCGCGCAACGACAAGACGGTGATCGGGTACGACGAGGTCGACTACGCCATCGACCGCATCACCGTCGGCATGGTCAAGCAGACCGGCACCTCCTTCCCGCAGCGGCAGCGGCTGGTCGCCTACCACGAGGCGGGCCACGCCATCATGGGCGCCCTCACGCCGGACTACGACCAGGTGGCCAAGGTGACCATCCTGCCGCGCTCGAACGGCGCGGGCGGCTTCACCCTCTTCGCGCCCTCCGAGGAGCAGATGTCCTCGGGCCTCTACTCGAAGCGCTACCTCAAGGGTCAGCTCGCCGTCGCGCTCGCGGGGCGCGTCATCGAGGAGATCGTCTACGGGGAGGACATGGTGACGACGGGCGCGTCGGGCGACCTGCAGCAGGTGCGCAACATCGCGCGGCGGATGGTGACGCAGTGGGGCTACTCGATGAAGGAGCTCGGCGCGACCTCGTGGGAGGGCGACCAGGGCAACGGCGGGTTTGGGCCGCAGGGCGCCTCTGCAGAGACTGAGAACCGGATCAACGAGGAGGTCATCAAGCTGGTGGCGGACGCGTACGAGGTGTGCAAGGAGACGATGCTCGCCAACCGCGACATCTGGGAGGAGCTGACCGAGATGCTTCTCGAGGAGGAGACCATCGACTACACGCAGATGGAGACACTCATCAAGAAGTTCTACCCGGACGGCCTCCCTAAGGGAGAGAGGATCGTCAGGCCGACGCTCGCCGCCGCCTGAAGCCGCCAGCCCCAAATCGCGGCTTAGGACCCGCTCCGGAGATGATGCATAGTACGGTTGCTGCCTGTGGTCGTCTCGCTGTCTGAAAATTGGTCGAATCGCAAATGTGCGGGGGGGGGGGGGTGGAGGGGTCGTCGTTGTATTTTGGCAGAACGGGTTCGAGCCGAGTGTTGCGTCTCTTCTCGTTTCCATGGTGGCTAGCCAGTGTTTCCGTCCGCTTTGAAAACCGATGAACAATTTTGTCAGCACGGTCGGTGATGAACTGATGAACCTTCTTCGCGCCTTCATGGTGTTCATATGCTTCAAGGGCAAATACACACACACACTCACGCACACCGACACACACGCGCCGCGCTCGAGCGTCGAGGTCGAGCACACCGCGCACCTCGCACGGCCACACACGGGGCGACACTTGCCATGGTGCAGCGCGGCGCCGCCGGCGGCGCACGCGCGGCCGGGAGACACTTATCACTAGCACTTTCGAGTTTCGTGTTTGATGCTTTGAGGTCTTCTCTCTCTTCTAACTCTTCACTCACGCACACCTCTCAGCTCTCTTTTCTCTCCTCCCCTCCACGCCCGCGAGTGCCGTGTGTGCGCGCCCAGACATGCACACTGCAACGAACGTGGCGCACACGCGGCACGCACACATCTCTCTATGACTCACTTGTCGCTTCCCAGCACCTTGCTTCGCGATCGTACACCGAACACCGTCCCGCCCGCCAAGGGGGGAGGGCAGACCGCGCACGGGTGGAACACAACACACTGTCGTCAGTACCTCGCCGATCCTCGCGGCCCCCGCCGTAAGTCGCTCTCGTCGGTCGCTAGCTGTGTCGCGACGCAGCGCGCCGCCGCCGAGCGAGCCGCCCTCGAGTAACGGAGCCTCCAGTGCGCGGTCAGCGAGCCGAGCGCGACGAGCAGACCCGCCGCCAGGAGGCTGGGCGAGGAGGGCGCGGGCGAGCCGCCCTCGGGAGGCTCCCCAACGCCCAAGCTGACTAGGGTCGGTAGACGCAGCGCGGCGAGAGCGTACAGCAAGTGCGCGGCCGAGTTGACGGCGGACAAGTCGAGCGCCGAGAGGAAGCGCAGTGCGAAGACCTGCGACCCGAAGCCGACGCCGCTGACGCACGCCGCGACGAAGAGCAGCGCCGAGAGCGCGGGGCCGCCGTCGACAAGCGCATCGACGAGCGTCTTGAACTCGCCGTCGCAGAGGGCGATGGCGGTGCAGACGGTGAAGGCGGGCATGTCGACCCAAAAGACGAGCGAGGCGAGGCCGAGCCCTCGCCGGTTGCGCTCCCTGCGCAGCAGCACGTACTTGCTGGCCGAGGCCATCGCGGCGACGAGGGCGAGCGCGATGCCGGCCGGCTGCACCGCGCCGGGGCCGGTGGGGCGGCGGCCATACGCGACGAGGAACCCGCCGACGGTGATGCCGGCAGCGGCGGCGTACTGCAGCGGCCGCTTCAGGTGGCAGCCGAAGGCGCTCTCGAGCGCGACAGTGAAGATCGGGCCCAAGGCGAGGGTCAGCGGCTGCAAGGCCGCGGGCAGGCGCGCGGCGGCGGCGTTGGCGGTGGCGAGGTCTGCAATGGCGATAGCGATGATGAGCGCGAGCGACTTTGCGGCGGCGCGCTCGGGGACGCGGAAGAGGGAGGGGCGGAGGATGAAGACGCCGGTGAGGCAGAGGATGGTCACCTGCGGGGCGGGGCGTGGGCGAGTGGGCCTGGGAGGTGGGGGGGAGGGCGGCGTCGCCGAGGGCGGTTCGCACCGCGCACGACGTCGCAGAGTAGGCGATGCCGGTCGTGCGAACCACGTGCCCGGTGGCGTCGTGCCCAGAAGTGCTCTGCAGTGCGCCGCGCAGCAGCACCGTCTTGCACAAGGAGAGGGAGGTGACGAAGATGGAGACACCGAGCGCCTTGCGCTGCGGCGACCACTTGGCAGTGCAGTCCGGGAGCGGCTCGGCAGGCTCCGCGCCCTGCTCCTCGGCGCCGCTCGCTCTCCTGTTGTCCCCCAAGCTGCCCTTGCCCGCAGACTTGGCGCGCTCGTACCGCTTGATGCGAATCATCATGCCTTCGGGTTGGAGAGGGCGGGGAGGGAGGGTCGGCCGGGCATGCGGTGGCGGGGCGGGGCGGGGTGGAGGGGCGGTGCGGGTTGGTGGGGCGGTGCGGGGCGGTGGCGGTGCGGGGTAATGGGCGGCTCGGCGCGCCGAGCGAGCCGAAGGTGACGAGGAGGCCGACGGCCTGGAGGAGGTGGACCGAGTGATGGAAGACGACGATGGAGAGGATGGAGGACAAGAGCTGCCGGACGGTGGAGATGGAGGCGAAGGCGAGAGGGCCTACGAGGGGTCGAGGCTCGAGGCTCGCTCCTTCGCCTCCCGAGGGTGCGAGGCGGGGTAGGCGGACCGAAGCGCTGGATGGTGTAGAGGACGAAGAAGGTGCCGAGGCTCGAGCAGATGGAGACGAGGCAGAGTGGCGACCACGCCTCGGGGTGGCGCGAGAGGAAGGAGCGAGCGCCGGCGAGCTCCGAGGTGGTGACTGTGGAGACGGCGGAAAAGAGCAGCGACCAGAGGGAGGACCAGAGCAGCATGGCGCTCATGGCCGTGCCTGCGCGGAGGAAGAGGAGGAAGAGGAGGGTGAGTGGGGGTCGCGAGACGAGGGCGTCCGCCAGGGAGGAGTCCGGGAGGGGCGTGGCCCGCTGGGTGCGACCCCACCCTTTGAGAAGACAGACCCCTGGCACGTGCAATCTCGTGCAATCTCGTGCAATCTCGGGTGATCACCCTTCGAGAAGACAGACCCCTGGCACGTGCAATCTCGTGCAATCTCGTGCAATCTCGGGTGATCACCCTTCGAGAAGACAGACCCCTGGCACGTGCAATCTCGTGCAATCTCGTGCAATCTCGTGCAATCTCGGGGGATCACCCTTCGAGAAGACGGAGCCTTGCCACGTGCAATCTCGTGCAATCTCGTGCAATCTCGGGTGATCACCCTTCGAGAAGACGGAGCCTTGCCACGTGCAATCTCGTGCAATCTCGTGCAATCTCGGGGGATCACCCTTCGAGAAGACGGAGCCTTGCCACGTGCAATCTCGTGCAATCTCGTGCAATCTCGGGGGATCACCCTTCGAGAAGACAGACCCCTGGCACGTGCAATCTCGTGCAATCTCGTGCAATCTCGTGCAATCTCGGGGGATCACCCTTCGAGAACAAGGACGGCGCCGTGCGAGACGCGCTGGCCTCGCTCGGGCTGCCCGCGATCTGGAAGACCACTTTTTCCTCCTCCTCCGGGGCGCCGAATGTGCGCACCGCGCCGTGGCTGCCGCAGCGCGCGCTGCTGGCGCACCGTTGCTGCCGCCTCCTCGTGTGCCACGGCGGCGCCAACTCCATCTCCGAGGCTTGCGGCAGCGGGGTGCCGGTGGTCGCGCTGCACGTCGCCTGGGACCAGCCGCAAAACGCGGCGAGGGTCGCGGCGCTCCGACTCGGGGCCGCGCTGCCGCTGTCCGAGTGCACCGCCGCGTCGCTGCTCGCCGCCATGCGCGGCGTGCTCGACGACCCGGAGACGCCGCGCCGCGCCGCGGAGATGGCAGACGCGATGGCGAGGCGCGACTCGGGTGCCCAAGGCGCGGCGAGACTGGTGGAGCGCGCAGTGCGGATGGCGGAGAGCAGGTGAGGGCTGGAAAAGAGTCTCGGTGTGAAGGGTAAGCATTCTGATGCTGCCCGCCATAAAAATTGGTTTACTTCTTTTCGTGCGAGGGAGCTTTGTTGTCCTTCTCCCAACGGGAGCGGGGAGCGCATCGCGACACGGAGGGGGGCTGGGCTTCGTGCGAGGGATTTCCCTTCTCTTTTTTGAGAGCGCCTTCGTTGTTAATAGTACAAACCCAAGCACTTGGAGCACTTGGAGTGCAATCATTAGCCTCACATCCAGCGAGGGCCGGGGAGCCCAATCTGCAATCTCCTTCTCCAACAAAAACTCGCGATGTGCCGCCGCTCGCGCCGCCTCGCCACCGCCGCCACCGCCGCCCCCTCGCCAGACACGCCGCCGCCCGCACGCCTCCTCGACCTCCCCTCGGAGCTCCTCGAGCGCGTCCTCTCTCGCTCCACAC